TAGTTACCGCCAAAATTTCGTAATCGGTGTAGTAATTTTGTTCTTGGTTGATGAAATGACTTAAGTGATCGCATTTCTTGTTCTGCAGTAAACAATTACACTTTTTAAACGATCGATTGAACTGAAGATAGGGTTACTATTTTTTATCATTTTTCGGACGAGACGAGTAGCGTTTAAGACCTAATTTTATGTCTTTTGTGTGAACAAATGGGCCGTATTAAGCATATATTTATCGGTTACCCTGAAAGTTCTACTTAAGATCAGTGGGCATATTTACACATAATTACGAAAATGATAAGCAGGCAGTTCTTAGATAAATCTTCGGATGAAAACTGTCTCTGGTGAATGTTACCTTAAAAAATGCAGATTTTTCAACAACAAAAACCAACACTGTTTCAGCATATCATTTCATTGGATATTTTCTGCCTAGTCCAGGTTCGGCAACCTTTTCCCCACCGGCTTAGCTCATCTTAACAATAATTTAAAATAAAGAAAGATATTCATGGTGTTTGCAGTAAGGGGTATGCGCAAGTTCAAGTTTTCAAGAGAACTCCCCATATATATAGAAAAAAAATGTATAATAAAACTGTGGACCACATTGCCATCCCCGCCTGAACCTGAAAACAAAAGACCAACACATTAAACCAACAATGCTCTCTTCGTGACCAGTGATGTTTATTTTGTTTCAATCCAAGCTGACTGACTGATAGGACAGAATAAAGGCCATTCCGGAAGAACAGTTTCTCCACAACAACTATTAAAAACCAATACAGAAATTAAAACTTACTGGCATCTTGCTTTGAGGAGGGAAAAATAACATTACATTAAAACCACAAAGAGCGACTAATATCGTTACAGAGAGTAACTTTTCAACCATAAACGGTATAATGTTGTCAGAGAGTAACATTTCTGCCACACACAGTCTTATGTTGTCACAGAGAGTAACATTTCTGCCATAAACGGCATCAAGTCGTCACAGACTATCTCAGTGTAGATCCCCCATCCTCTGTCTCGCGATTAGAGCCGCCGCAGCCTCCTGGTATGACGGCAGCGCCTCTGACACCAGAACTGCGTGGTGGGGGGACACAGGGACCAGACCCTGACTGGCTGTTGTAACGGACGTTTCCGTATGTTGTTCCACGCCGGAGGAAGAACATACACCGCCTAGTTGGGAATACAAGGCAACAGCACCGTCCTCACCAGTGGGTGGGAGAACGGGAGCAGAGGCACAGCAAGGACTTAGCCTTTCGGCGTCAGGTGCTGGGGAGGGGGAGGAGGGACCGAGATGATCATCTGGCCACTGGGGGAAATTGAGATGACCACCAACAGGAACAGATCCGCCGGGTGTTCTCAACTGTGAATGTACGGGCGTCTGGTCTCCTGAGAGAGTGACTGACCACTGAGTTTGGTCGGAGACCTGGTCATGGCTCGCTTCGCTACTGTCCAGGAGTTGAGACCTGAGCCCCGAATTCACCTGCTGCAAAATGTCGGTCAAAGAGTTTGCGCTGAGGAACGGCTGGTCGTACTGACTCCGCTCTGGGATGACCTCTCGCTCGGGAGGTAAGCAGAGCGTACTCCTAGAGCAGCTATCACTCGCGGGAAAATCCATGCTGTGAGCGCACAAACCCACCACTTCGTTAAGAAGCCGTTCCTGTTCGGAAGACGGTACTTGCAAAGACGCTTGAATATCAGCAAGGCTGGAAGACTCGTCGGTAAAAGTAGCTGTTGGAGAGGTGACGTTCAGACTGCCTGCTTTGGGAACAAGAAGTTGGCCATTACTTTGGCTCGTCGGAACTAGAGACTGCTCAGACACGTCAAAAGTTGAGCAGGTGGAAAGGGCAGAGTCCACTCCAAAAGACACTGACAAATCCTGACCATCACAGAGTCTACCGTTATTACTTAACAAATTTCCATCCTCCAACGAAATTTGCTTTGAATCAGAAACAAAAGAGGTTTCAGGCTGAGACACAAGTGAACCAGATGCAGGCAGGGGGCTGGGTAAACTGAAAACATCAGCCACTTTCTTTTTGCCACGCATCACAGCTACATCACTCTCGAAAGCATTATTATCACACATAGCGCCATCTTGCTTTTTCAACACATCCTCTGAAGAACTGAAAACTATCGAATTACATGTAGAACTTTTATTACCAACAGATTGAGAACCAGCAGCTTTTCTGTTCATGAAGTTCCTGTAGTTATATGGTCTTTGGCCCCGCCTCCGTTTTAGAGCGGAAAGCATCTTCGATATACGTTTCTTCGACGGATAGTTCGACGTGGGCTCAAATGCTGCTTGACTTAGCACCAAACTCGACGAACGTACAGGCTGGGAGCTTTCTATAAAAGACGCATCTTTCTCTGAAGGAGGATTCTCCCCTGCAGGGTCGGTGTACAATTTTTCCCCGGATTTTTTCTCCGGGGAACCTTGTCCCTGAGGGTTTGGTTTGGTGGACTTTGGGCCAGTGTGTCTCGTCTTTGGCGGGGGCGGCATCCACGTGACCGATGAGTCCGGTGGTACGTGAGACCCCGTGAGGTGAATTCTCCAGGTGGACAGGTCACTTATAAACAGCTTCATGTTGATCATCAGGCTGCAGTTGTGCCGGTCTTGCTTGTGTTGTATGCCCCGGCAGTCTATAGGGAAGAATTCAAGCTTCAGTTAAAGAACGTTTTACGGGACATGCAATACAAATAAGTCATACTAGTGCCGATGATTAGGTACGCTACAAGAGAGTAACTTAAAGAGAAAAGAAGCGGAGATAAGGATGATAGATCTTTTATTTGAAAGATGGAGCAAACCACACCAGAGCATCCACCAACCACCTAAGGAAGAATTCGAGTCGAGTTCGGATAAAGAGAAGCACACCGACACAATAACACTCATTAAGAGCACTCAAAAGCAAGAAAAACGGACAGAAACAACAGAGTGAAAGAATAGAAGGTAAGCCAAGCAGAGGCACTCTCCCCAACCCCGCACATCGACACACGAACGAGTAACGGTTATTTAGTGCAGGAGGAAAGGGGAATACTAAAGAGTTGTGGTGACACGGTTAGCTACAAAATTGGTCACCCATTCGAAAGTAATTTTGGGTTCAAATCAGAGAGGCCATCCAAATCACTTCGACTTCCACCAAAAGTAAATGCTACACTCTCAGTCCGGGGTTCCAGGAGATTGAGAGGTTGCTTGATACTTTTTTTTCTTCAGAGGGTGTAGAGGTGGATTTCTGCTTTCAAAATTACCTACACTGTGGCTAGTGAGTCACTGAAGTAACAGCAACAACAGCAAAGAAATATTTTTTTAACTTTCATTAATTTTGACAATTGAGCTATTCATAGCTGTCTTCTGGAAAAAGTAGACATAATTAATGTAAAAGTAAAGGTTCTTTGTTGGTGACGTCTTTGACGCTCACGCTTAAGCCTAACAGAGTTGAAAAAGGCGTAAACCCTATACAGCTACTGCTCTTACGATACGGGTACACCGGAACCTCTGGTGTGGCAGTTAAGTGCTTCAATGCCGCATGCAGAAGACCCGAGTTCAACTAGGGGACAATTTTTATCGTTTATCTGGGTCTTCCTGCTGGAATGTTACGATTTCTCTCTCAGTCCAAAGTTGGACGGGCAGAGTCGAAGCAAGCCTCCTCAAAGATCTACAGTGTGTCAATGAGGTTTTGAACAAGTACATTTTTTTAATTGTATAAAGAGGTGCTAAAACCATAAACCCTACCCACTTACTGCTCCTACGCTACGTGTACTTACTTTCCAAGCAGATGCCGAAGCCGCCGCACTTCCTCCTGCAGTTGCCGTGGCCCGGACACCAGACGTACCAGTTGACCACGTACTGGTCCCGCCTCCGGCACGCGTGCACCTCGGCCTGCTCGCACAGACCATCCGCCGTCAGCTCGAAGAAGTCGTCGAACCGGTTCCGCTCTAAGACCTCCTTACCGCGTCGCCATGTGACCAGCGTCTCCTGGAGGTCAAGGTCACTCCGCCGGCGCAGGCGCACCAGCTGTCGTTTCACCTCCCGCTTGCCCTTGTGCAGCCGGACGCCGCGGGTCATCGGGTGCTCGCTGGCGAAGCGGCAGACGCCCTGGCCGACGGCCACGTACAGCAGCTCGCCCTGGTTCTTCATGTTGTGGATTTTGGCAGACCTGATGGGGGTGCTGATCGGTGCGGGGCATGTGTCCCACGCAGGGCTCGTTGAGGAAGAGGCAATTCCCGAAGACGTCGGTACGAGCATTTCGCTAGTTTCTTCAACATATTCTGAGGACATACTTCCAGGGAATTTACTTTCCGCTCTCAAAATCCTCGATGACGCAGTTACGGGGACTTCACTAGTTTCTCCAACAATTTCTGATGACGTAATTACGGGGATTTTACTTGATTTTCCCACAATTGCAAATGACGTTAGTCCATGGAATTTACTTGCAGCTTCCAAAATTCCCGATGATGCAGTTACCCGTATCCTATGTAAAGCTCCCACATTTCCCGGCGACATAGTATCGGAAGCACTATTCGCATTACTTGAAACAATGTGTATCGAATGGCTACGGCTCTGTAGCACTGGGGCGGTTTTCTCTTTGTTTTCAGCGTCTTTCATGCTTTTAACTATCCCATCAACGTGTGGTAAGGCGCTTCTTCTCAGCGGGCAATGAGAATGCCACAGTTGGGTATCACTTTGAACATTATGTTTATCGATCTCATGCTGAATTTGGTTTAAATTCGGACAGTCTGTCTCGGCAACGTGAGAGTCTGATTCAACATCTATAAGACTTTCTTCAGCAGCTGAAAAGGCCAAATCATCTTCATCTCTCAGGCACTTATCGGACTCAGCACGTAGCTCTGATTGATACGAGAACTGGGGAGAACAAGAAACAAACACACTCCTGTTCGTGGAAAAATCACGGTCACTGAGCCATAAAGGACCGTCATCAATGTCACCATGTGAAGAGTTGGTTTGAAATTGACTCTTTGCCCCCATCAGATGCCGTTGAGAATTGACTATTGTGCTGCATGGCCTTTCAGGGCCGGAAGAATGAGATGATGCAAACGTGTGGGTGAGAGACTGCGGTAAAGATGTATGATGACTACTCACAGTGAGACATGCAGCGGACGCAGGGTGTTGTAAAAAATTACTTCTGTCTCTCCAAAGCGTGCCGGGCTGCTCCGCAGAGGATACCTGGGGCAAAATACATGACGCAGAGACATGCCCCATCTGATTATTGCGTATGGGTTGAGGGGAGCCAGTTTTTTCCTCAGTAGCTCTGACTCCATCTACAAAGAGCGTGTGAGACGAGCCAGGCAGACAAATCTGCATCACGGATTGACTTGACGCTTCCAGTACCGGTGTACTCTGCTCACAATTGAGAGACTGTGAAGTACTGGCTTGAAGCCCAAGCGAGGGTAGATCGTTCCAAGTTGGAGCCGCCGTGTGCGATGAAGGAAGACGTGTTCTGGCGTAATCATCACAGCCATCAAGGAGGAAATTGGGCACGGTTGACCCAGGTTCTCTTGACGAGACACTAGAAGCGCGAATGGCATCATAATTTACGGACAAACCTGGGTGAACTGATGATACGGCATTCTTAAGCACAGATTGGCTGCCACATGCACTGAGACCACCTGTTGCTAACCCGCTTGGACAACACTGTAGCTGGGCTCTGCTCTTGCTGCTTCCTGTGCTAAGCCTAATGTCCGATGCTAAAGACGGACGCTCCAGACTTGGAGCTTGTGATGGAAAGACGTCGGCCCCAGCAGCGAGAAGGGCAGGAACTCTCAAGGCAACCCCTGAGTCTTTTACAGAACCTCCTTGCCGAGTGTCTAGCGCGGAAGACGCAACCACTGAACACTTTACCGGTGAGGAATTGCCTTGCGTGTAATGTGGCACCGTTGCATGCATATTTCCTACATTGAGTGAGGAATGTTGTTGCAACTCGCAAACAGAGGACGGTCCAGTGCTCGGGTCTGACGACGGGTTACCTGTACCACCAAGGTTTGGATGGTATGAGTGTGGAGTACTGTCAGATATGCAAGCATTTCTGTCCTGGTCGCCGCCGGCGTCTCCCCGTACGTCCTGGGCACAAGACCACCCTGCAGGCATCTGACCATTGGTAGTGCTCCTTGCCAAGGAAAGTAGCTCTCGAACAAAGAGCTCCGCAGACGTAACTGGACGCATGCTATCGGAACAGCTCTCAGATCGGCGAGGCACGACACCTTTGGTCATGAGATAACAGTGCAGTAGTTGTGCCAGTTCGCTTTCTGTAGATGTCTGGGTGGAGGCTCGTTCCGAGATAAAGGTCTTGGTATTTCTCCTCGCCTGGGCGTGGAACAACCCGGTGGTACTCGTGAGAAGAGAGGACGGCTGGGCAAGTACAGCTGAAGCCATACCGCAGTAATGCAGGTCAGTCTGATTTGTACTGGCCAGAGAAAATCCTTGTGGTACCTGCGACACACCCAGTGACTAGCGATGAGGGGACAGTTTTCAATAATAGTCCTAACAATACCAAAAACTTCCCCATACGTTGGGAACAAAATTTTTTTAAACTTTGAAAGACAATAATCAGCCTCTCCTCTTCTACACACATTTCACTTAACAAAAGCATGTCTTCTTGGAAAAATCACATTATATTGTCTTACATTTTTATGTAAAAACATCTCATTCTCATAAAATAACACATAAAAACGCGTAGCAAAACTACAAGTAGTAATCCTTTTAAATAAAATGGAGCAAATGTAAAAGTACACTGACCCGAATACTGGAAAGTGGTAATTAAAATCTATAAATTCAATTTCCGCTTTTTATATAAAGCTAAAAACTGTACTGTGATTGTGGCAACATTATGCGTATTCAAATGGGACACGATTGAGGGGAAGGGTGGGGTTTCAATATCACACATGTTGCAACATGCAAGTTTGCGGGACCATGCGGTTAACACAACACACTCTTGGTAATCGCAAACCCCACACTGTATAATAGCGTGCTTTCTTTTCTTTTCTTTTTTATATTCTTTCAGACCTGATGGTCGATTTAACATAATCGGTGTATTTTTAGAAAAAAAAACATTTATCTTAATTCAACACCCGTTTCAACGTTGACTGAAAGGTCATTTAAGAGACAGGACCTCGATCCTAATTTAACATGCATCTCCGATAGAACAAAGCGATGATGATGGAGAGCCTTGAAAAACTCTCCAAATAATAGAGTTCAGGAAAGCCTCATTTGGGATTTCGAACCATCTGATCACAGCTTCAAACCTAGTGAGCTAACGGTGTACCCGCATACAAGACAGCAATTAGATAATAATAATAATAATAATAATAATAATAATAATAATAATAATAATAATAATAATAATAATAATATTTATACAGCATTCTATCCCATACAATAAAGATGTAGCTTTCGCTCACAAATTAAAAACAAACAAGCCACTAAGCTGTAGGCGACAGACATAGCAATAAAATGCCGCTAACCCCGGGAACAAAAACAATCCACGCTCGGTGTCAAGCGATAATAACACTGCAGTATAATTAAGATACATTATGTTGAGCCCACAGGACTTTTAGATCAGAAGTAAAAGTAAACTATATCGATTATACGTTTGAGAACAATGGCACTGATGCCACTACTTACGTTTCTCTTCAGCCGTCCTGTAATCATCGCTTTACACTCCCTCCTCGAAAACCGAGCAGCTGCAGTCATGGTAGACAACGGATTTGGTTACTAAAAACTCATTAGATCTAGAAAAGTGTGAGCGATATAAGTTGAACGGGACGAGCGTACTTTTTCTTTTCTCTCCTTTTATCAAATTTGTTTTTTGTTTGGGGGTTTGTTGTTGGGGGGGGGGGGGGGTTTGTTTTTTTTTTCAAACAAAGAGCACAAAATACGAACAGAACGTTGGGCATAGCACGGGTTAAACTCTCATTTCAACATGGTCATATGGTCATTTATCCGGGACACGGGAGCATCAAATCAACGTTAATGTCCCAGCCAGGAACGAGGAGAGCCTGGAAGTTTCTCGAAACAACTCAAATTCAGGTGTACACTCAGTTTGAACTTGAAATTTAAACACAAGCAGAAAAATAAACCCACACAATTGAGCAAAGTAAAGCACATCCTCACGATAACAAGCATCGTGTGTGTGGAAAAGGCACAGCAGACAAATAAAATGAATATCGGGGGAATAAATGAAGTACGAGATATAAGATAAGATAATTTTAAGAGATAAGATAAGGTATATCTTTTTTAGTTTTAGTGGAGGTTTTTCGGCGCTCGCAACTGTATAAGGTCATATGAGCGCCAAGAGGTGGATGTCAACAGAGCAGTCCTTACAGGGAATCAAGACTTACTCTGCTCACCTCTCTAGCTTCAACAGCACAAAGACTGCTTCGACTGTCAAAGCACCCCGGAAATAGTGGGTCACAAGAGTGTGATGAACATACAAAAGAAGTAGATGTAAATGACAATAGTAAGGACTAAGAAAGAAAAAGCAGCAGTTCCCTGTTGTAGCTCAGGTACAGTTATGAGCGTGACATTGCTGAATCAGCCCATTTACAATTTTACAGTGCATGAACGAGAAATGTCCCCCCTTTGGGAATGGCCTAGACACTTCAGTCAGTGGCACCGCCCCCGGGGGTAGGTACGTCTTTATAGTCCACTTCCTGTCACCATGTTCACACACACACACACACACATACATGTACACACACACACTTAAACATACAAACATGCACACACACGCAAAAGTACGACCAACTAGTGGCGCTTTCTTATTCTACCTACGCCGGGAAATTGGATGCCCGTGTCGTTACAATGAAACATGGTGAGTGTAAAGAGCAGCATATCGACACGATAACGGTCATTCCGTGTACTTAAAAAAGGAAGGATTTATTTTTTGTTTTAGTAGAGGTTTTACGGCGCTCGCAACTGCATAAGGTCATATGAGCGCCAGACGATTAGAGCTGTTACAAGAGAATAAGAAACATAAAAAAGAAGAGGGGGAGATAAGAACGATAGGTGTTTGATAGGAAACAAAAAGCAAACCACACCAGAGCATCCACCAACCACCTACTAAAAATGGAAGGTGTTCGGACAGAAGCAACAAAGAGAAAGAAAAGAAGTAGGACGTACCAGTAAGCCGGCGTCTGTGGTGTAGCGGTTAGGTCTTTCGCAGTCGCACGCAGAAGACCCGAGTTCGATTCCTCTGTGGGTAAAATTTTTATCCGGTATCTCGGTTTTTTCCCGGTGTGATGTTGTATTCCTCTCAACCCAGGTTGACTCTGACAGGCAGGGTTGATGCCCGCCTCCTAAACGATCTAGACAATGGAGACTGAAGCAGACGACAGAACATGGTACAGAGCAGAAAAGGGGATGAAAGGTGAAAACTCAAGAGCAAAAAATCTTCCGTCGCTGTTAGGTTTCGAACCCGGAATCTATTGAATGATAGGTGAACAGCGTAACCTCTAGACCACGAGAGCTCCCAAAACACCTTAACTGTGTCGATGGGGACGTTAAAATCTTCTACAATTACAAAGACAACCAGTGGCATCGCATCCTCCAACCATCCACACCAAATGGCACGTAATTGTAGGAAACAACAAATCAGAACCACAAGACCGTCGATTATCCAGCACACAAATGGTGAAACGGTATAGGTTTAACGCCCCTATCAACACTATTATGTTATTTAAGGGGCAGGACCTACGAGTTTAACGTCCATCTCCGAAAGGACCTAGCCAAATGGGAAATTCGTGTAAAATGTCTTCCCGGGGGACACAACGTTGATTATCAGTAGGCCATCGACGCCACCTTTCCACCTCACAGTGGAGGGGAAGAAGTACAGTCTCAATAAGCGATCGCAGGTGTACGGGCGGACATTATAGTATTTATAGGGCTGTGGTTGAGAGGATTTTTTGGCAGCAGACTAGACAAGACCCGCCTTGAAGACAGGTGTTGACCATCTGTTGACTAACCACAGAACAGGCGGGATGGTGTAGAGTTGAGGGTTGAAAGGGGGGGAGGGTGGCGAAAGAATGGACATAAAGGGCGGGACGTCTTAGAACTTGGGAACAAATGTTGGGTGGGTGG